GGCAATATAAAAAGCATTGATTATATTTCTTTACCTCTAAAAGTTCATTGTATGTACTACGTGTATGTCTTGCATATCTTGGATCTAAAAATGGTCGACTAACAACATAATATCCAACACATGTTGATATATCTATATGTATATACAAATCGATTAAAATTTTTAAATATTTTAATTATCTTACATTTAGCAATTACACTATCGATACAACCCATAACTAATCGAAAAATAATTAAACTTCTTAAATGTTTAATCTTAAAGAAAAATAAATATTAAACTCTTTTTTTTTGAAAGAAAATTATATACCAATCGTTCAAAACCATCACGTATAATCATTTTTTCTCGACGACTACCATTATAAAATGCAATTTCTTCACAATTTGTTACTAAACGTGAATTAACATAACGGAATTCACCTTCAAATTGTTGTTCAGCAACTGTCATACGTCCAATAGGACGACGTAATCTTTTTATTTTATTTTTTTAAAAATAAAAATTTATTTCATCTATTATGAAAATATTTTACCTTGTTAAAACAAGACCTGCACAAATTAAATAAAGTACTAATAAAGATGGTCCACTTAAACCTATTGTTCCTGAGAGTTTTCTTGCATAAATAACTATATCCATACATGGCTAAACAAAATAATATACAATTTTATATTTTAAAAACAATAAAAAGAATACTTTAGAAATATTTGTATAAAGATCAGCAACACTTGTACAAAATTTTTCAACATCTTGTGTTAATAATTGATCAATATTAGAAATACGACTATCAAGTGTATTTATTTGATAATAAGTATATCCTCTTTAAAAATAAGAAGAAAGTTTTTTTTTTTGTCACATATTTCGTATTAAAAAATCAAGAGCGCATAAAGAAATTACAAATCTATCCATCGCTTAGATTATTACAATTGACAGAAATTCATACAGAGTCGTTAGATAGTAATATTCGCATCGATTTGATAATATCTATGATAATAAATGCCAGAAGTATTAACCTTAGTTTCTCATCGTCGAAAGTATTATCGATATTGTGAGAGAATTTGCTAATAACTTTCGATAGGAATATTGCTTTTATTAGATAGACTATTCGATACTGCATCAATTACTATAAGAAAAAAATCTAGTTAAGGAACTTATCGTTACTTCATTGTCAATCATCGGTATATTAGCTGCTCATTGGCTTCTCGAATGATGGAAACTTATAATAAATTTTTATATATCATTTAACAGTATTTTTCAAACTCAACGGATCATGATCACGAGAGAAATCTCAAATACATTATTCACTAAATATGTTTTTGTGCTTTCTTAACATGGATTTCGGTAGATTTTTAGTCAAAAAAATTACCATTGAAGCCAAAACTAATAACAAATTTAGAATCAGCATTAAAAGCTAAGTTCACTTATGTTTATTTGAAATATTTTCACGAACTTTTTCTTTCGTTGCAACTCTGCTCAGGATCTAATCAAAAAATGAATTGCACTAAAATGTCATTTGGACAATAGAGATTGAAGTCAAAGTTTTATAACATGTTATCAGAACCTAAAACGACAGATGACTAAATAGTAAAGAAACAGTTTGATAAAATTCATTGTTTGACTGAACCTTGAAGAAGACTCTGGGCTGAATTTTTCGACGAAAAAAAAAGTACCAAAAATAGGTGAAAAATTCAGTAAACCTGCCAAAGACTAATAGAAGCTTTTGCTTTTCCCACTGAGACTTGTCTATAGATCCAATATGAGTTCAAACAACTAGAGTCACTTGAGATAGTTCCCTCATTAGAGTCAAATTCTGCATCGAATCATACATCAATTTTAATAATCTAACTAATGTGCAGACTTGTGATCTTATGCACTACCGTCCTTCGTCCTTTCATACTTAAGATATTGATCATATAAATGTAATGATAAACGTTTTCGAAAACGTAATTTAAGTTCGTCAACAGTATACTATATATAAAAACAATAGAATTAGATTTAATTCCATAAAAATTCAATACATACTTTAAGAGCATTATTAACGAATGCAAGCTAAAAGAAATAAAATTATTAAATATTGTCATTTTTATATTTTATATTACCAATGGCATTGCATAGGCAAATCTACTAAGACATTCTTTAAATAGAATTGAACTTCGTCCAATAATAGCACTTTCAACAGATGTAGTAGTGTGAATCATCCATACATCAGCATAAGTACGTGCTACTAGTGATATAGCAACCAATACAAGGAACAGACTCTGTAACACAAAATATATATAGTTTTTTTTCTTCTTTGGAAAATTTTTTTACTTCTCCACAGAATACTCTTGGAATGAGAATTTTAAGTAAAATAATAAGCTTTCTAATATGAAAGAAGAGAATTATTTAGTGAAATCGAGAATGATTGTTTTTTTTTTCTTCTATTAGACTTTTCCTACCGGAAAAATTTCTTGTCAACAGCAACATTTTGATCTTGCTTTGTCAAATGCTAAATAAATAAAACAAAAAAAGAAAAATAATTTAATTATTTGTTTTTTTTCTTCTACTCTAACAAAATGTGAAAACATACAGATTTTATAGACGAATTGATATCTTTCGCTAATAATCTAAATCAAAAACAAAATTGAATCTGAAACCAAAATTCCTACATGAAATCAAAACGACTAACTGTTTAGATCGTTCACGAAGCCATTTAACTGTTACCCAATAAGATAAAGCCATGGATGATGCTGGAGAAAAAAAGAAAGAAATAAAATTTATAACATAGAATTGATTCTATTATACCTAACATAAAACCATGACGATAAACAGCAGGTAATTTACTCATACCAGCCATTGTAAAAATTAATCTAAAATATTTATCTTATTTTTTGCAAACTTTTCGGAGAAAATATTAATTATATTTTATTATCTTCATGCATTGCACTCAATGAAACATGAAAATATTTGATCTAACAATTCTATTCTTCTTTTCTTTTTTAAATGAAAAATAAATTATGTGCATCAAAGATTCTATCTCATTGGACTCTTTCACTTCTTATATAAATTTAAATAAACAACATCATGATTTTTGAAAACAAGAAATAAACTATTCAAAATTTCATTTAATAATTATTGTTGTACTTTTGAATGTACAATAATGATGATAAAATAAAAATATTTTCTATAGATTAAATTTTGAAAATATTTACAAAAATTTAAAAACTACAAGATAAAAATAAATAAGTTTCTAGAAACCATAGTAGTCTAACTATATTTGTGTATCTAATTTAACGGTTATAAACATCTGCATTTCTTCATTTAATATTATTTAAAATTTAGAAATTAATTTTTTTGTATTATAAATATGTTAATAGATTGTTTAAATTATTAATCAATAGAACAAACACTATTTACAATATTCAACATTTAGAATAAATATTCATTTCATTAAAAGATAAAACATAATAGTAATATGCATCTATTTTGCGTGACTTGATATGTTGTGACAACGAAAGCAAAACAAACTTTTGAAGTTTATTTTAAGAATTTTCAATGACAATAATGATTAATAATAGATTTTGTTGTAATTAAGATATCAAATTTGTTTTTTCTTGTCTTTTCATAATATTAATCGAGATCTACTTTATACAATAGGATACTAGGCATTACTCTACAAGGTTTTTATTGAAAACTCTAACCTCTAGAAAAGCATGACAACTCACATTTATCGATCGATTGGATAAATTCTACATCATTGATCGAGTGGGAATGTAAGTAAAATGATTCATCATGATGTTAGAGAGTGGATAAAAAGAAGAAAAAAATAATGTCACAATCGACAATTGAAACGTGTGAGGACGCCACAGTCCAAGAAAACAGAATACAAAAAATACACTACATTACATGGTGTTGCGCACTTAAATATTTTGTATATAAAATGTGAGTTATATTAGTTAAAAACAAAATGGACTATGCGAGTAGCGTAATAAGATTGGGGGAGGCTTAATCATCCTGTAGTTTGTAAAAACGATAATGATTTATTTTTAGAAAGTAAAAGCAAAATCATTCGTATTCTTTTTGTAGTTTCGACTTGATCGATGAGTCGATTAGATATTCAATGATTTAAAAAAAAGGTGAACTCTGTTGTACTGGTAGACTGTCGTTTCATCTGTAAATTGAAAAAAGGATAAGATTGATATAAGGGTGTCGATTGCAACTCTTGTCTTCGTCCATACAGGTCCCGATCTAATCCAACACAAGTCTAGAAGTTGTATTCCTTTAATTGAATATGTAAAAATCAATTTCAGCTGTACATCGTAAACATTTTATCTGGGTCTTTGCAACAGTATTCTTTGGCTTGTATCATTCATCGGATAATAATATGCAGAATTGTGGAATTTTCTGAAAATAGGAACTTACTTTAAATAGAACAGACAAAGATAACCGTTAATTTTATTCAATGCTTTCATAATTAAGATATTCAATAGTAACAGTTTAACTATTATTGCAGTTGCTTGGATCATGTATTTATTTTATCAGATATAGTAAAGAAAGTTTATTCTCTACGTTTCGAAGATAAAAATAAAATGACTCGAATATGCTTATTGATCAGTTTTTGGTACTTACTGTGAGTCTTAGATGTCCATTGCGGCTAGAAACCTGCCATTGTCGCACCACGATAGTATTTTTGAAATATACCCAGCGCCATTGACGCCGTCGCATAAAGATAGTGCCTTGTGAAAACAAGCAGCTTCAAATTATAAAATCTATTTGATTTACAAATAGTCAAATCGCAGTTATATACACTTTTGATAAAGAATACATTGGATTGATTCGAGAGAAAATGAACTCAGATTAATGATAGAGTTCTAGTTAAGATGCAGTAATCGAGATAATTTATTAAACATTGATTATTATAATTTTCTCATTAGTTAGTTCAATATGTTCGTTCGTAATGCTGATGATGCAAAATACCTATCGTCCAAAAATTTAAAAAAGAGGAAATAAGCGCAATATTATTTTTAAATCTTATTTTGACAGAAAAATATATTATCGTTGCCTTCATTTTATAACAAAGAATTAATCTTCATAATCGTAAATATACTTTCAAAAACGAGTAAGGTGGCGCTCAACCACTCGAAGATTTCTGGTTCCACTACTAAAATATACTGTATATGTTTGTCTCCAATATCTTTTATCGTGAATAAAGAATCGTTTTTAAAGCATTTCCGTACATTAAAATAAACAAAAACAAAATATTAAATCTCTGAAATATTAACTTTACTTTAATGTACTTAGAGTTATCTAAAAGTAGTAGCCCAGGTACTTTTTCTTCTTACAGAAAGCTTGAAAAATTTTCTTCTTTTATGAATAGATAGAATGTATTTCGCTATATTTTTCTATACTATTTGATCACTATTCAACTAATATCATAATAGTAAAATTTCGATAAGAACAGTTTTTGTTGAAAACCAGCTAGTAGCATTAGATCATAATGGGTGTGGCACTTTTGCATTTTACTTTATTATCACTTAATACGTTGTATTAAAAAGACAAAACACACTACAAGATGTAGCGTGAAAACCTCTACAATTTACAAAGAACAATTATAAAAAGATGAGAGAGAAAAAAAACGAATTCGTCTTTTACTAAAAAACAATCTAGTTTTCGCAACATCGAAATTTGGTCGCTTAGAGTTTTGTTCATTTTGAAAACAAAACGTACGACTATAAAACAAGCGATCCTTTATAGATTGTAGAACTTTTCACACTGCATCTTGTGATATATTTTGTTTTTTTAATAAAACGTATTAAGTGATGATAAAATGAAATCCAAGAGTGTCTCATTGTTTATCCCACATCCATTATAATCTAAATACTACAAGCTGGTTTTCAACAAAAACAGTTCTTATCGAAATTTTATTATTATGATATTAGTTGAATAGTGATCAAATAGCATAGAAAAATACAGCGACAGACACTGTATCTATTTATAAAAAAGAATTTTTTTTCAAGCTTTCTATAAGCTAAGTAAATGTTTTTTGTTTTTCTCAAAATTAATCTTTATACAAAAAAAAACAGTGCAAAATCGTACCTGTTTCTCCAACATAGTACGTTCGGTCAAGCTGAAACATTTTTTTACAGGTACTGGACATTATTTAGCGTGCGCACTTCTTTCTGTGTTGAAAAATGTTGCATCGTTGATATTTGGCAGATTTTACAAAAATGGCTCTAGTAAAAAACGATTTATCTTTGGAAGTACGCTCGATATTTCGATCCTTTTTCTCGAATCGAATGGAATAAAAAGAAACTAAAAAAAACAGTTAGACACCCTAACGACTGCCTAGTATCTGTTTAAACAGATTTCAGCTCTATTGGATGTATTGCGACTGAGAATGCGGGACGATTTTTTAGTCTTTCCGACCCAAATATTTCCTAGAAAGAAGTATCCAAGAATTTAAAGTCTACGACAACTTTTTCTGTACTCATCAAACTATTTCTAATGAGTCGTTCTTCAGAAAAGGAAAGTAGATAGTTGAAAGTTGCATGAAAGATGGTTTTTTTGATTTTTGAAAGTTCATTTTCTGAAACATTTGTAGTGTTTGATGCTTTTCCGATGTGATATTTGAAAAGAAAACTGATAAATGATGTATATGCATATTGTCTGTTGTTTGTCATAAAACAGGCATATTACTCTATCAGACGATTTGCTGTTAAGAAACTTTAGTTACTAAAATGTAGCTTGTGCTTTCCTGTTTCCATTTATATGGATTCAATTGGTTCCAAGACAATTATAGAAAAAATAATTCAGTTTAAATGATCGTCCAAAAAATTTAGTACAGTATTGCATAGAAAAGCCCACATGTAAGATAACGGGATGTTGTTAAATATACTTAGAAATTTGCTGAGCTTGTATTGGGCAGCTGTTTTTTTTTATTGTATCTTATCTTTCCATGAATATCACTTAATATTGTCAATATGATTAATGTTAATATGATTGAGTTTGATAACAATATTTTTTATGCATTTTATAAAAAAAGAATCACTATCATCCATTTATATTTATTTATTTTTTAATAGTTTACTATTGTTAAAATATGTTTTAGCTCGCTATCTTAACAAATTTTGTTCTTGATCTATGATTTAGATATAATCAAAAATAAAATAGTCTCTAATGAGACATTCAAAAATGAGAGAAAAGAAAACGCAATAAAATACATAAACACACAATATGAATATAAAATTTAATAATATATTTTCAAACACCAATACAACCCGAGACTAATTTTCTCCAAGTTTTAGTTGAATGTGTACGATGACGTGTTCGTTGTTTAGTATTTGTTTGATTTTGTTGTTCAATTAATGGTACAATAGATGTTGGTGAAAGTGATAATGTTGTATTTGTATTATCACGAAATTCAAGTGCTGTCATAACAGCTGTATCAAAAACAATTTTTAAATTTTTTTCTGTTAATGCTGAACATTCAATATAAGTACATGCATGTATTTGTTGTGCACGTAAACGTGCTTCTTTTTCTGTCACCGGTTTTAATTTTTGTTGATCAAGATTTAATAATGTTTTTAAATCAGATCGTAAATCCATTTGTGTACCAACAAGTATAATTGGAATTTTTGCATTGGAACGACGAGCACGTGATAACCAATATGTTATTGCATTTTGAAATGATTGAGGATTAACAACACTAAAGCAAAGTAATATTACATCACTATATGGGATACAAAGACCATGCAAAGATGAAAATTGTTCCTAAGAGAAGAAGAAAAAAAAATATTAGATCAATAATCTAATAATGAGAACTTATGTTCTCCATAGTGAAATTCATTATTAGATTTTCCTATCTATTTACCTTTCCTCCTGTATCGCAAATATCGAAATGAACAAGTCGAGTACCAACAGAAACATCAACAGAATAATTATCAAATGCTGTTGGTATATATTGTGTTGGAAAATCATTTGTTGTATAACTAACAACTAATGACGATTTTCCAACACCACTATCACCAATAATAACACATGTAATATGACCACCTGTATGATGTGTATTTGTTGATGGTACGATTGGAATAGATAAACTTGATGATGATACTGTTGTTGATGATGAAATTAAATCAAAACAATTTGGAGTCATTTTCTAAATATAAAAAAAATATTCGATTTTAGAAATATAATTATTTAAAAAATAAAGTAATATTTAAATTAAATTTAAATGAAGAAAATTTTCATTTTGAATATCGTAAGATTTATAGAGTACTATATCTTATACTAATAAAATGATATTGATTGTAATGTGTTATTTTGGGGTGTGCAAAAGAAGAAGTCAAATGACAGACATCGCAAAAACTTTCGTTATATAGACAAAAGTAACTGTTACTGTCTGTCAGATACAAAAGGAAAAATCATAGATCAAGCACATGTTTTGTCTATGGAATTCGATAATGATATGTCTTCAAACAACCAAATTACATTTGCTATAATACCTTACGAAAGCTTTCGTCTGTTGATTTTATTGACATCATACAAAATATTGAATGTTGATTGTTGTTTACTAATAATGCCAACAATAAATGATCTTTAGATAATAAATAAACAGAGAAAAAAGAACTTGCTTGTCATCCATGCTCTTTTTCTCTCTATTTGTCGAGCATCTCGATTAGAGATATTTCTTATCGTATATCATCATCTGGTTTCTTTTACTCTATTCTTGCTTATCCTGACAACAACAAATGAGAAAAAAACCGAATGGCGATCTATCTTTCTTATTCTTCGCCTATCTTTCTTGTTCTTTTTTTTTTATATACATACAGAATCATTCATTCATAATCTTTTTCTTTTTCTCTCTCGTTCTCTTGATTTGTTCTTAATAAAATAATAACTGGTACTGACAACGAACAAAGAATAAGACGACACTTAACGACATACAGACTGTTTTGATTAGCATATAAAGAGCAGCCGGATTCGATCAAAAATGTTCTAGTTATTTAGCTAGACGAGGAAAATGATCCATGATGTATGATGATATAGACAAATTCTTGTCAATTTTACTTGTAATATACAAAAAAGAAAAATATATCAAACAAAAAAAAAAAATTCAAAATCGTTTACTCACATTGGCCGTGATTTTTAGTATTGACAGAACAGAATATATGTATATATATTTATTGATGTAATAGTTACGGTGGGAAATCAGTTTTTTTGAAGGTGTAACAGAGTAAAAAAAAAAAAAAAGAAAGACGAGAAGTATAAAATAATCACTTTTTTTTTCTTATTTCTTTTTTTCTATTAAGGCTGTTGGTTGTCGTTACCTCTGCGTCTTCTCAAGGATCTAATGTGAACAACGAAAAATTATTTTTGTTACGTCACTTCTTGCACTTCTTTCTTCCGCTCTTTTTAGGGTCTATCACACACGCGTATATAGAACGAAGAAGAAATATGTAATGATTTTTGATTTACCTGACATATGTAAATATACAATCCATCTTTCCTTGACAATATTGATCGTATCGATCAATAATAATTATTGTATAAAAAAAACAGAAGAACCTCTAATAAACATAAACATACATCGATAAAAAAGAAAAAAGAAAGACAAGAAAAGAGTACAGTTTTTTAATAGATAAATATCAGAACGTTGATAGTCACACTTCATCAAGTCAAGGTGAATGAAAAAGAAAAAAAAAAGAAAAGAAGAAAGGCCAAAAGTAGCATGACTTATTACTAAAAGGCTAATGAAGAATAAATGTAATATTCATTTGTGTTCTACCCTGTCAACTGTCCTTCTTATTCATTCTTTTTTTTTTTAATAAACTGCTTAAATAATGAACGAAGATGAAAATCTAAGATAGATATTGAATAGTAATCAATCACATAAATGTTTAAGAAGTAGAAGAAGAAAAAAAAAGAAACTTACTATAGAATTAGATATGATGTTATACTTTTCTTTTCTTCTCTTCAAAACAAAACACAAGAATATAAACACTTTTCAACTGTCTTTATTGCATTGATATTAAATATTGTTCTCTCAACTAGCATCCCTTTTTTTTTGTCTTTTTGTCAAAATCAACAAAAGACACTGTGTCGATGATTGTATATAAAGAATAAAAAGACAAAGCAAAAAAAAAACACATAATCAAAGAGAATATGTCTGGATATGAATATGATTGACAATGGTACATATAATGAGTCTGAAAAGTCTATATAGATTTGTCCTTTTTGACGTGTTCAATTAAGCATAAGAATATAAAAGAAGTGACAAATTCGTTTTTCTTCTTGATCTACAAACATTACGCTTCAACTGTATATAACATATCAACAATACTAGATCGATCAACTATAATGACGTAACTATTGATAGCTTCAAGTAATGACAACTCATATCGAGACAGTAGCTATTGCTCAATAAGTTCTTTTTTATATATTTTTATCCAATGTTTTCAATTGAATGAATTCATTTTATTTTCTTTTTTTCTTTTTCTTGTCGTTGATATATATGTAATGTTTACGTGAATAAACATATAGTCATGCGATTTATTTACGCATTTCGAAAATATGGTTTTTTTTTTTGTCAAAAACAGATTATTTATGATTAAAATAAAATAAATTTTGTCTTTTTTTTTTGTGTTATGGAAATATATTTTCTTCTAATAAATGTCATTTTCTATATTAATTCATAGAATAAATACAAAGAGAAAACGTAGGAAGCAAAATATGACTATATGAAGTACTATATAAATTATTGACACAAAAAAAATTTATTTCAAAAAGAAAACCAGACTCATTAAGGCATCTAAAAAAACAAGTTTTAGTTATTAAAAAAAACTCATTTATGACGATGACAGAATCACCGGTTAATATTCCTGTATATGATGGATCTCTGGCGTCAGTACGTAGTTCATCTTCATCAGTAGATCGATTACGTCAAATCACAGGCTTATCCAGACGGTATGCAATTCTTTATTTTCTTTTTTAGAGTTTAAAAAATTTATGTTGCCTTTTTTTTATAATAATAATAATAAGAATAAAAATTATTTTAATGATAAACTCACTGTTGTTCTTCTGTACTATCACATTCAGTCTATTTAACAGCCGGTATATTTGAGTAATTCATTAGATATAAAGTTAATTTAAGTTAGATAGTATTACCTGTTGTTTATTTCATTAAACAAAGAAAAAAAGAAAATAAACAGAATTAAAAATCATGTCTAAAAACAATTCGATATCTATTCCTATTAACAGGTTTGATTTCAATTGTATAATATCGAAATAATTTAAACAAATTTATTCAATAAATTTCTATTTATATAGAAAAGCTGAATTACAACCAAAATGGAAAAATGGTGAACTTGAATCAAAATATCGATGTTCATCATGTAATAATTATTTACGATTTCCAATTCAATTTGAAGTTTGTGGACATCATGTTTGTTCAAGTTGTCTACCGGATATCATGCGGTATAGAAAAAACAAAATAAATCTTTAATTGATTAAATATTTACTTTGTTTAGTATTGCATCACGTTGTCCAACTTGTCAACAACCAATAGCAAAAGATAAAATAGTAAATGATAAAGATTTAGAAAAAGAAATTCAAAATTTAGAAGTTTATTGTACAAATAAAGAAAAAGGTTGTGATTGGTTTGGAATATTACGAAATTTTCCAGTTCATATTGAAACATGTGGATTTATATTAATTGATTGTTTAAATGAATGTGGTGCAAAATTTGAAAGACGTTTTTTAAATAAACATCAAAATGAAGATTGTACAAAACGAACAATTACTTGTGAATTTTGTATGAAGAAAAAAAAAGAAATTTATCTCATTAGGAAATTGATTATAGATTTATTTTTTTGTTTTTATTAATTAAGGTAAAACAAGTATTCTATTCGAAAATGAAATTTCTCATTTGAATATTTGTCCTGAATTTAAAATTCCTTGTCCAAATCAATGTTCAACACAAGAATTTTCACGGCAACAAGTAAAAAAAATACATTTTATTAAATAAAAAAAAAAAGTATATCTTTTATTTTATTTTTTTTTTCTTAGATACAAAATCATTTAGATAATGAATGTTCAAAACAAGAAATATCTTGTCCATTTCATGATTGTGGATGTGAATATCGTGCTAATCGAACAATTATTACTCAACATATAAAAGATTCATCTGGTATTCATTTAAATATGGCTGGAAAAACAATATCAATACAAAAACAATTATTAACATTATATGAAGAACGTTCAAATGAACAAAAAAAATGGATTGAATTATTAGCACGAAAAATAAATGCATTAGAAAAAACTTATGGATCTCAATTTATTTGGAAAATTGATCATTATCAAGTAATAGATATTTATATATTTAAAAAATTTCTTCTTATATAATATATTCTTTCTATTAGGAAAGACTTCAAGATGCTCGTACAAATATAAAATCAACTTTATTTAGTCCACAATTTTTAACTAGTCGTTATGGTTATCGTTTAGCACTTTCAATTTGTTTATGGGGAGATGGAAAATGTAAATAGATTTTTCTTCTATATATAATATGATGTGTATTTTTATTTAATTTAGTGAAAGGAAAATATGTTTCATTATTTATTTGTATTCATCGTGGTGAATATGATTCTTTATTAGTTTGGCCATTTTCACATCGTGTAACATTTACATTACTTGATCAATGTGAAGATGTGAATAATTGTCGTCATATAACATGTACTATTAAACCGAATATATGTCAAGAAAATAAACCATTTTTAGGTCGACCAATAACAGAACGAAATGCAAGTTTTGGTTGTCCTAAATTTATCGATATGGATACAATGACAAAATTTAATTATGTTAAAGATGATACAATATTTATTAAAGTTGAAGTTGATAATGAAGAAATGATTTTTATTTAAAATCAATAATAAATAAATAAAAACGAAAAAAAAAACGACTATTTTTGTTTTGCTTGCATAACAGATTATGAATGCTTATTATTATGAATAAAAATTAAATTTATGTTGTATCGTTTAAGTTTAACTTTAAGCAAAAAAAGTATTATTCAAATAAAGACTATTCATTAAGTTTTGACTTGCAGAAGCAATTTTAATTATTTACATTTTTCATTAATGAAAAAGACTAATATTAATAGTGTATATATTACGAAGATATCTTTATCAGCTGTGTAATAGAATTTCAGGTTTTTAAATCTTTTTATTGCAAAGATACAATCATCGTAAAATTTGATAGAAACGTTTGGATAATAATGTTGATCAAAACTTCTGACCAGAGAAAGTCACAGGACGATCTTTTCATTGGTTTTTTGACAACTATATTAAAATTGTTTGTATATGAGGTACAATTTGAAATATCATAGACTCCCATATTGATACAAAAATCATGTTAATAAACCTTATCATATTTTTTTCAGGATAGAAATGAAATGAAAAATTAAAAAAACTGATCGAACGAAATTTTCTATGAAATTTTATGATGATTGCATTTTTGTAATGTTAAATTCTACTACCTAGTTGATAGGAGAGACCTAGAATATGCATTATTAATATCAGTCTTTTTCATTAATGAAAAATGTGAATAAATAATATTGATTATGCGAGTTAAGGTTTAGTGACCAACCATTATATTACTAGATTTAAAAGTTTCATTCAATAAATGAAAGTGTATTCCAAATTGCATAATATTAGAAGAAAGCATACTACTTTTCTTATTATATATATATAAAGGTAATTGCAATATGACGTGCAGAATAAATTATAAAGAGAATTGAATATGCGCAATGCAGAAAGAGGTTCATTTCAACCTTTCGAAAATGTAAATCAAACTAAAATTAAGAAAAATTTAAGGAACAGTGAACTAAGCTGAAAAAGGCAATTTTTAAAATTTCATTAGAGATCACTAAAACTATGGACTTGGTATTTGAACTTATTCGGGTTTATTTCAAAGAATTGTTATGTAAATCTCTCATCTTATAATAGAAGGTTTTGATTCGTCTATCAAGAGGTGATTGGATTCATCCATATAAATCCATGCCTTTTTAGTTATTATATATTTTTATTTTATTCGTGTTAATAAGCGAGAAATCTTCATATCATATCGAAAATACTACTTCTACACTAAAGGATATAATTGGTTTGCTTGCATGCTGTTATTCTTACAAGGGAACATTCAATTGGCTAATCAGTTTCTCGTCGAAAACTACTGTACGGTAGGTTATCGACTATGCTGATTCCGAATATGAGTATGAGAAATCTACTTAACTCTTCATATACTGGTTTTTCAGACGGAGAAACATTTTAATAATTTTTTTTTGATCCGTTCAGATTATGGAACACTTAGAGTTGTTTGAAAGGAAAAAGACTTGAATACTAGCAATATAATAGTAAACAATTAATCATAATAATATTTTCATGATATTTTTTTTCAACTTATTAATTGATTAAAAAAAACGATTTAATTTACTATTTTTTCAATAACAAATAGATCGTTCTATTAAAAGTCATATATGATTAAAGATTATCAATATTTTTTTTTGTTTGTAAAACAAAAATATTCGCGCAGTTTTGATAATCAAACAAAAAGTCTTCAGAGAATACAAACATAAAATGTTTTTTATTAAACTATTTCTGTTAATTCAATATTTATTTGAAACAAAAAACAAACAAAATTTATGTCAAATGAACATGAACTTGAATTGCTTCATCGTCGTGATGCAATTCTTCATGAAACAATGGACCTTACGTCAAATGTTGTTCAATCACTTGAACAACAACAAAAACTTGCATTTGATACAAAAGAAAATTTATATAATCAAAATCTTTTATTATCTTTAGCTAATGATAAAATGCGTTCAATGAATCAAGATTTAACATCTGTTGTTAATGAAATGAATGAAATTGATGCACATCATGGTTGTTTATGTTGTAATATGAGAAAAAGTAAGAAAAAAAAATTTCAACAACAAAACGATTCTAAAACAATAATAATATCAAATACAAATGAAAAAACATTAGAAACTATTAAAAACAGTTCTAGTATACCACAAATTATTGATAATAATAAACAAGAAAAAAAAATTGTCGATGAATTAAATCAAATGAGAAATCAATTAATTATTTTTCAAGATCAAGTTAAAATAATAAATAAGTCATTGGAAGAAGGTGATGAAATTATTCATCAACTTGGAAATGAAACAAATCAATATATGCATGCTAGTTAGTATTTCTTATAGTGATGTAACTAGGAATAGGGGCTGAGTCTTCACCAATCGAAGCCATGTCAACTAAACTTAGGTCTCCTCTCCTCGCTATCAAGATCCTGGTTACACCATTGTAGTTTCTTGAATTATTTTAGTTACTACAGCATTGAATAAAGCTGAACAAGTACTTGGCCGAAAATTTATTGTTAATCAACAGCAACAAGCGATGGCACGTGAATGAAGACAAGGAGAATTCGATACATCAAATAAACCTATCTAAGTGTTTTCACTAGTCCTAGAAAATACAAATTTTTAGAAATTAGTATTCTTTTTCCTTTTGGTATATTTTAATGAACAATTTTCATATATTCATCAAGAGATAACAAATAAGTGAGATTTCTAATCAATCAGGTTTGTTTCTATTCACAGTATTCAATTCGTAATGCATGTGACAATGTACTGGTATTTAATTTAAAAACAAAATTTCGATATATTAATGATAGAATTAATTTACGAATCTCAAGCTGTTCTTAATAAAACTGGATGGCATTCGAATTTCATTCGAATGTGAAATGTGGAGCGAAGCTTTGTTCAAAGAATATTAATAGTACACTGGAATCAACTTTTCATTTTTCTATTCCTCTTAATCGGAAAGATTATGGTTCGGTCAATCAACTGGTCAAAATCAAAATGAAAGCAAAGTCATTACTAAGAGAACTCTATTAAATGGTGTGTGATTGAAATCAGGCCAGTTAAACTTTGCCAAAACTTCTCTACCAAATAAAGCACGATCATCTAAGCTCCCATTTACTTGTGCAAAGAGAGTTGCGACCAGACTCTGTAAACATACGGGACGTTCTACTAACGTTTGACACAATGGAAAGTGTTTATTCAATCTCAATATTTTCTAATGTTCCATTGTTGAAGACATTGCGGCGAACAAAATACGAACTTTAGATCTGTACGCCGAGACAGTTTATCTTAGCCTACTACTATCTATTGTCAGATACAATAGTAGAAAAAAAACTTTTCAATCATTGATCAAAATTTAATATATGTCTTGCTTTTCATATACCGGCAACAAAATTAATCAAAATGTCATGTGTACTAAAAAAATTTTGTTGAATTCTTTACTTTTTCATACGACAACAAGCATTTGTCTTACCAGTCACGTCATAAAGTGAAATAGAAGAATTCGACACAAATTTTTGTTAGCAAAAAAAAAATTTATTCTTTCAGCCAGATGATGTTATCTAACAGAACACAAGAAAAATAAGTTTGAATCATTAAAAGTTATTCAGCAGGAAAAAGAAACATTGAATGAGTAAGTATTTTTCATCATTATAGATGAAGTGGCGTAAAAACAAAAATTATGTTCAAAACGATTCAAAATTAAGGATAGCCTCTTTTTTTGTGATCAAAAACTAAATTTCATGTTGGACGTAAGGTATGATAATCTCAAGTGCCACATACAATCAGAGGCATCATTCAACTCTAAATAGCTTACTATTACAGAGTTACTGAGTTTAACAATTTTTTTTCATAGTAATTATATTGAAATTCTTTTCTTTTATTTAGCGTAACTCAAAACACCAGTCTTCTCAATCTTGGCTGCTTACGCAGCCGTTTTCGTTGTCGACTTTCCTATTTGGATTTATAGAGTTCTGAAGGTCAACACCCTGATTTTAGCTCCGAATCTTCACGCATTTCTCTCATAAAAAACAAAGGAAAGCAGATTTTCATAAAAGTTCGAAAATACTTCTGATATATAGTCTGAGGTATCTCAAAGGAAAATTTTCAGTTAGATCGGATAAAGTTTAGTTGAGGCTATGATGTACAAGGATGCGGTTCTATGGAAAGCCAAGATTTTCCAGAAACTCTCTTGAAATTTTTTTTTTCAAACACGTGTTATCTTATTCCAGGCACCCTATCGATAGTGAAAATTTCTATTTAATGGGCTGTGCCCTCTTCGAGAATCAGAAATAATCATAAAACAGCGGAAACGTACCCTGAAAAGAAAGCGTATTACATATGAATGAATTTTCAAAATCTTTGAAAAGTATTACATATTTGCATTAATGATGGATCAGTTAGACTTCGAAAAAAAAATTTATATTAGAGGTCTATTTCGTTTTTCTTTCTCAATCTTTCAATTTCAAATTCATTGTTATACAATGATAAATCCTATATTTACGTGCTTCCAATTAGTTGATGATGACTGCTTCTCTTCAATTTGTTCACCTACAGACGAGAAAACGTCGTCACATGAATGAGCTCCATGAATACGGACAATGCGGTAATGCTTTTGAACTACATCTTCAATATGATTTTGGAGAAGAACCAAGCGTAGTATTGGATGAATTTCTCTTCTTGGGCAATAGATTTCATGCGTTCAATTTAAACTTACTCGAACGATTTAAAATCGGTAAATTATCGCATAGAAGTGACCCCATTCGATGCGTTTTATTAGTTTCCAGGAAACTGATTTTACTGCAAAGAGATGCACAAGAGTTTCAAAATGGACATAATGGGCATCGTGATCACAGAGACTGCCTGTCCCCTTCTTCCACCCTCACCCTCAGCTGTGAAAAGGGTGTAGATGTGGGTGTTAGAGTGAGCGTGGATCTTCTCTTCAACACACCCACACCCTGTCTGATTTACATGATTTATTCGTAGATGACACGCCGTAGAATTCTGTGCAGTTTTTATTTTGAAAATGCTGACGAAAAGCAATTCAAGTCGAGGATTTCTTGAATTGGTGGACATGGGTATGGACGTATCGCATTGGATATGGATGTGCATGCGACTGAAGAGAAGTTGCACATACATACTGATACTCACACCCACCTGTTGACTGCTACCTATAGCAACGTCGTTCTCGTGTATCACAGAATGGGCGAGTACTTGAAAGCAATATATTTTTTACAAAATGGAGATTCTACACTCACACTCAGACTCATATCCCAAATCCACCCACACCCGCATCTATCCTACATTATTATAGACGAGGCATTCTAGTGTGTATTCATGTAATAAAACTTTCGATATTAACTATTTTATAAAATTTTAAACACCATGATCAGAACTTTTGGTCAGACTTAAAGTATAAATAGCTTGGATAGTCTTCTCCGTAGGAGTGTGAGGCAGAGTTTTGTGTTGAAAATATCATCTGGCTGATGATGGATATTCCAATTTAGCAATCATGAGCACAATATCAATTCCTAACTGTAAGTTAATCGACGTTTAGTTTTATTTGAAATGTATACATCTTTGATTAGTCACTTATGATTTAAAAGAGAAAGAACTATCCTCCACACACGACCAACTACTGATGAAGACCAATATTCGTTATGCAGACGGAGTACTAATCTCATTTCTCGAAGACAGTTCGTTCCTGGTTGAATGACAAGTTTGATAATCGATGGACACGAAGAGATGGACAGATCTCATGGGCTTCACGGTCACCGGACTTGACACCATTGGATTTCTTTTTATGGAGTCATGTCAAAACAAATGTCTATAAAACTAATATAAAAGATCTGAACGATTTAAAGATCAGAATAAGTTAAGAAATTGAAGCACTTAAAAAAAACGTTGTGTACTGTTTTTCTGAAAATAGGAAAAAGATTAAATTTTTGTATTTCAGCTGAAGGTAATACCTTTGGACAGTACTTTTGAAGTTTGTTCGAATAAAATAAAACCTCGATGTATTTACCTGTCATTCAAAAAAAAAAATTAATAAAGTCAAATTAAATAGCAAAGATATACGAAAAATTTAAGTGGAAAGGACTTTGGGACAACCTGCGTATTCCAATTGAAAGCAAAAAGTACAGTTCAGAATGGGTATCAGTATAATATTCCTTTCGAAGTCTATTTCATTTTACAGCTTTCGTGGTGCCCGTGGATATCCGCAGTTTTTACGAGCGCCCTTTCTTGTTCGTGTTGATCAAATGGATATAATTGCTAACAAAGTTCTGTGCAATATGTGCAAACACATTGTTCAGTTATTTACTTTACAATTGAATTACGAGCATTTCTACAAGTGAGCAACTATTCGCGCGGCACTGTCTTGCGCGCAAATATCCAAAAATAAACTTTCCTAAGCGGCAGCCGTCATCTTCAATGCGCACGCATACACTGCAGCTCACACCCCACACGTTAAACTCACAACATCACACTCCAAGCGCCATAATTCATCCACATTTTCATGCTAAGCTCATCATACAATGAACTTACCCTAATATCCTCAGCTACCACCCTTAATATAAACTAAACAATTTTGTCATCAGCTTTTATTTCTTTCCATTTGCTGCATTCAATTATGAATTCAAGCCATATTAATGATTCTCATCGAAGAAGACATGTTTTGAAGAGAGCTGTGCACCTGTTCTCATTCATTCTTTTTATAAAAGCCATCCATTCAAACGAAAGTTTGAATGTTGATGTGTGGTATACTCTTTCGCTGAAATTTCTATTCTTCTGTTCGAAGTAAAATCGCAGCAAGCGTGGTTTTTTCTGTTTACATAAATGGAAAGCAAAGAAAAAACATATGAAGCCTAAAACATCGTCACTGAAACAACTAACGCACGGAGCAGCATAGGCATCCATTATTTGCACAGGTAAAATTCTCTAAGGATTGCTTGGTAGCTTTTTTATTTTCGTCTGCTTGCAATTACGACTTTTTTGCTTAGGTAAGCTCTGATCAGGATTTCATCAGTACCCTATTCCTTTAAATTAGCCTAATTGACATTTTATATGGGACAACAATGCCAATAGCCTCGAACCTATCTAAAAAAATCGATCAAAAGAGTGTTTCGTAAGAAATCTCAGAATTCTTTACTGCAAACCATTAAACAAGGGAACTAATACTCAACCATTCCATCCAACCAGTTCAGTTTTTTACAATCGTAGCATTCTTCGGCATTCTTGAACGTAGGATTTTTCTAAAGATATCCAGACCAGAAACACACTCCAAACTTCGTACTTCATATTCCTGCACTACATTTCCAATTAAACATCCTATGCAACACACGGCGTCAAAAGTATATAGCATGCACGATCGTCGACATGCAAGCTAGCATCCGTTCCTACACCCACCGACATCTACACTCACACTCAAGACAGTTTTCACATCCACGTCTACACATTCTGTCATATACGCACCTAGAATTAATGCCAGGAGCACACTGAGGCTAACGCTATTGCTGACGCTAAGGTTCATAAATCCACGCTCCCACACATCACTAAGGTTCATAAATCCACACTCCCACACATCACTAAGATTCATCCCCACACCCAAACCGGCGCACACACACAATCATCAACAGTCAACACCACACTAACCTACGCCGCTACGTTTATCCCACACCACTAACTACCATCAAGATCACAACCAAAACCTCACTCATCTGCATGCCTACACCGTGAGCCATACCCAAATATTCTCACTCACCCAAGACAACATACAGAACCACACCAATGAGAACACCATTGCTCATACTGAGGTCCATATTTCCCACACACGCAGTCACACTCACCTATACACCCAAGCGCTCACGCGTACCCTCACCAACAATAAAGACCACACTAACCCACGCTCTTACGCAGTAACCCCTACTCACATTTTCACAATAGCCCAAACTCTGGCCCACATCTACGCCAACAAATAATACTAATACTTACACCCAGACAGAATTCTGCCTACATTCGCACTTGGTCCAACAGCAAGGTCCACACTCGCCGTCTCACTGTCATTCAAACCTGCTTCTGGTGCCACACACTCACGCTTACCCTCCGCCGCATAGCGTTGCTCACACTGAGACCTAAATCGTCAAGACCCTCGCCCATTGTCAAACCCATACTCAGGCTCACAGCCAGACCAATACTTCGGAAAACATCCACCTACTCCCACGTCCAAATCAAGAGCAAGCAACATCCTTATCTACATCCAGACCAACATCATTGGCGACACTGTGACGTACTCGCGTTCATTCCTACAAACAAGCCCACACCCACAATATTATCCATAGCTAGATTGACACCTTCAGCTACAGCCAAGCCCATACACAATCATGCCTTTATGCATATCTCACATCCTCGCTGAGACTCACACCCAAGTCCACAGTGATTACTAGGCCTAACAACCATACTCACACTCAGACCGAGAGGCGTTCACATACTGGCAGGTACACACACACACACTAGCTCTTCACATAGTCTGTAGGTTCGGCTGAATATTCATTTGAGCACTTTGCGCAAGAGTGTGTGGTGTAGCTCATATCACAGACGATATATTGCCTTCGCAGTGAGCCGCGCAGTTTCGTCCATCATTGTCACAGATACGTGTCTCGAGTTGGAAAAAGTGAAGTTTAAATTTTAAGGTATAAACTCTTGTTTACATTCAAGATTCCTACTAGTGACAGACAAACACTTCGTTACCGTAATCGATGTATTTAACATTCGCCGAGTTTTTTTGTATCCTAGAGAAGCTTGCTCTCAGAATATACAGCGAGAACATTTTATGAACAACTAGAAGTTCATGGAATTGAAACTTTCGTGTTTGTGATTCTCGATCATTGAAACCATGAAAATCGATAAAAACAAGCAAGATAGTCTAGTTTGAGTGCACGAAAAGTTGATAAAAAGCTGGTGAAAACCGGCCATCTCAGTAATGATTTACCGCTCCTGTTTTGAACCTGCGTACGACACATTCAGGAAGGCGCACTCATGGATACACATACATGAACGCACAGCGTGCGTCTAAGATGTAGCGCATGCAATTGTGCATAGTGTTACATGTATGCATTAAATATAACGAGGAGACATGCAAAGTTTTCAGATATGTGTTTCATTTTTCAGCCAGCATTAATATCTATGCCTCTACTTGCTAGTTATACATTCATCATGGTATTTCATTCTACATTTAACAATGACTATTAGGCGAAAATATTTGAGGTTCGCGCAAATTCGATAGAGCTTTTGATGACGTACAAAATTGTGTTTTTTTTTGTTAAAGCGAACGATAAAATGAACTCTGTCCGAGATGAAAGTCGAAATCCAATATGAAAATTGTGTAAGGTGTACGCAATTTGAATCGACTTGACAATATTGCACTTTTCTCTCAAGTTACTAATCTATTCTTATCGATGAATCCTCCGATTCCGTAACTTAGTCTTATGGATGAATCCACTCAAGTGCTGATAAAATCAAGTTTTCGAACGATCACTTAGAGAATCCCTGTTTATTTTGAAGAGAGTTACGAAATCAATTTTTTTAAAAGGTCTATCCTGATTTGGCGACTACTTGTGTTGAAAAGCCATATGGATTCATTTGTAGAGTAGCTGGCGGCACATCGAATACGACGTAGAAAAAGACATGCACATCTAAGTTTGGTGATCTTAAAACTCATATACTCGTTGACATTGTGAGTCTCATATATCTGTATATTATTTTATGTATAATTCTTTCCAAAAGTCAATGATATTGAATTTTGATTGCACTTAAATGTCATACACTTAATTACTGTTCACATTGTTATCTTCATAACCAAAATTAACTATCCTTATCATCTTGTCGCATTTTTTTATTTTATGATACATTAGTGTTCGTTGATTTCCCCAAAACTTGTGATTCACCTAGCTCTCGAGCTATTCTTTATTACTTGTGTCTAAACTGGAGCGTACTATGAGCGAACCACTACGTCGCTACTAAAAAATGCCTATTTCTCTATAGTAAGTAGCGCAAGAATACTGCTGTTCGACAATACTCATTTTCTAATATAAAAGTCTCTACTAAGGAGGAGTTAGTATATCACCTTTTGATAATTGGCATAGGCAACTTTTTCTGAACACAGAAGAAAATATACTTCAGCCTTCTTGAGATAGGTATGATAATGGACCCATATAAGTCTTCTTCCTATTATTTTTCTTTACTTTCGACTTTAGTTTTCTCACTAATCCGCAATAAGCAGGCTACGAAGCCTGGGTTATAGATCGTGATAGACATATATTTCACGGTCCAAAATACTAAAAGGATTTTCGAGCATTTCAGCACGATTTGTGATAGATGTGGTGAACTTTCGACATTATAGTTAAAATGACTCCACTTGGTTCCACATTTATATCCAATAGGTATTATGTTGCATGAGCTATTCGAAGTTTCGTGAAACTGGTTTTGGTTTATGCTGTTTACTGGCCCATTTTCTGTAAAGTCGAAAGTAAATCAACTTCGTATCTCTCGAAGAGTAGTATCTAATGTACGAGAAGAGGAGTGTTTTAAGTGATAACCATCCTTAAATGTTGACTAAAATATCATGATCCACATGAGATAACATACTTCTTAAGATAATAAAAGTGACAGATGGTGTTGGAAATTTTGATTGGAAATGAGAATATCGTGTTAATAAAGATCTATCGAGTGTACAATGAGTGAATTTTCACTTTTTTCCTTGTTATAGATAAGCACAACACCACAAGTCTCATCCTGTTATCACTTGCCGGATAAAGTTATCAAACAAACGTAAGAGGTCGATTTCATTACGAAAATAACTTCAAACATTATTGACATGACTCACGTCAATACTCGTCTTCTTGATGCTGATGAAGAACGTCTGAATACACTTACTCCTTTGCGTGGTTATGCAGAGGAACCTCTGGTTTCATTAGAAAAAGCTGTTGTGAAATTACGCACGTTGGTCGATGATGTTGATGCACGCGTCTGGACAGCTATGAATCGATGCGAAAAACCAGCCGACGAACTCTCTCCGGCTGAATCAGCTGCCATAGTTTTATATACAATCGAGTGGGATCCTAGTCATCCTAGTCTTTATTTAGTATTGAACCGAACACTTCGCCTTGAAGATCGAAGAAAACTTACTCCTTGGTTTCCTTATTTGAAATTACTGTTAACCGCACTATTCAAATTACCATCAATTTGTTGCACCATATGGCGAGGTGTACGCGGTGATTTACGCGCGCAATACAAACTGGGCGGCAAAATTACATGGTGGGCATTCAGTTCGTGTACGACTACGATTAGTGTTCTTGAAAGCGATCAATATTTGGGAACATCGGGTCCACGTACATTATTCGCAATTGAATGCTTAAATGGAAAAGACATCAAACGACATTCCTATTTTGCACAGGAAGAAGAGATATTGCTTCTTCCATGCACTCATTTCCAAGTTATTAGCCATTTACGCAGCATGGAAAATTTGTATATTATTCATTTGCGTGAGATACAACCGCCATTTATGCTTCTCGAACTACCAGATCCTATGTCAGCAGGTAAGAAGAACATGAGATATTACTAGCATTGTGTTATAACATGACTAATATCAGAAACTCGATGAAACTATCTATCTTGAAGTGTACAATACTAAAACTCATCAACAGTACTATGGATAAGTGCATGTTTCAAAATAAAACTAAAATCAGACTTGCAGATATAGTACTCAGAGATTCTTTTCCTAAGACACTCAAACAACAAGTTATTGAAATATAGCTCTTTGCTCGACCTCGGTACACCATTGGTTGAGTCTATCTCACTTAAAAAAAGAAACAATTTCGAGAACAATTCCAACTATCAGTTGAGATTTGTTTTCGAAAACATTGAGAAATAATATTCTGTTAGAGTCAGTGTTCTTGTTAGGAGTTAACATTCATATTAGCTGTTGTCTCTTTTCTTCGTTTGGCCAAATGAAGACACTCTACTATCAAGAAAGAGTGTTGCCTTACATCAGTCTAAAATGGTCTTGCCAGTTGGACGATTAAAAAAACAACTTTAATTTTGTAAGAAACAAGACCACTGTTGTCATTTTCGTTATGTATAAACATAACATTCACTGTTTACAGTAAAAATTGAAATTTCCTGCATTTTCAGTGACACTTGAACTGTCAGTTGCACATCAATCATATTCGACAACCATTTTTCGTAAACACATCGAACACTGATCTCTTGTGCTAAATGTAAAAAGTGCAGCAGATGCTGAATACATAGTCTACTGACTCGCACGACAGAAACCAGTTCATATGATAATAAATGACAAAAGAAGCGAAACAAAATAAGGTGATTGTCTATACTAAAGTATGTAACTATCGGAAAAAGATACAAATATGTATATTTGCAATATCCCTAAGATGCAGATAGTCCAATTTTTCTCGTAATACTAAAGTTTTGCCAAATCATGTACATGCGTATAAACACATATTTGAATACTATTCTTCAATTATAAAGTCTGTTTTGCTAAAATAATTTTTTTAGCATAAGTACGGGTCCTAACACATTTATCTATCTAATGAAGAGTTGAATGTTGTTTCTCCTTGGAAATATAAACTCTAATTAACTTGACTCTATGTCAAATAATTCGTGGAAAAAAAATAAATTGATCATTTAGTTATTGTCTCAGTAAATTTCGAGTCAAAATCATTTACATCTTCATTTCGTTTCTTCCTATTTTTGTTCTAAATGTATTGTCTTCTCTATGCATCATAGACTCTCAGAGAATACTGATAATAACAGGTCGAATAAGAGAAATCTAATTCAAGCAGAAAATGTTTCCATCGTATGTGATCCAAGAGAGGTCGAGTAAAGACAACAATTGCAGATAGCACGAGTTGTTCGCAATGTATTTGTTGGGTAAAGAACACACTGGCTTCATTGAAGGATAGTAAATCAGATCAACTGAATATGGGAATAGAGTACTTTAATTATTGATGAACGAATAACTTGCGATATATAGCGCAGTGCAAGACCAATGAAGATTAGAATCCATCACTGATTTGCTCTTCTTCTCGAAATCAATCTCGAGTCATTCTTGGTGTTCGCGATGTACAGAATAGTAAATACTAGAACAGTATTTGAAGAAATGGTTCGAATATATTCACACTTTTTGGGAGATGTTTTGCTGTTATCATGGAATTTTCTCTAGATGTTCAGTACTCTTTATGGTTTGTGACATTCACGAAAAAAAACACTGCTGGTTTTTCTTGAACTCACAAACACGCGCCTTATTATTTCATAATTTTTAAACTATTTCTCTTGATTTTTAAGGTTCTGGTATTAAGAAACCTAGCTATGCACAATTGCAATCCAAACTGGAGCAACTCACTAATGAAAATGAGCGTCTGAAGGTACGATGCAATGAACTTGAGACCGAAAATGAAATTCTAAATAAAAGTTATGCCGATTACGAAAATGAAATTCAACGTCTTAAACAGGATAATCGCCGTATGAAACAAGAAGGTCAGCACTCTGCTCAAGAGATTGCAAGTCAAAAAGAAGAAACTCAGCGTTGTAAGCAGGATGTTCGTCATCTGAAACAAGAAGCTCAGCAGTCTGATGCAGTGATTGAACGTCTGAACACCGAAATTCAACGTTTCAAACAAGAGATTGAACGTCTGAAACATTCATCGGCTACATCAAGCGAGCGTACAACAAGAACTTCTTTAGTTTCATCCGAAAGGACGATTGGTGAGTGAAAAGCTGAATTAAAAAAAGTTCTCAAAATAGCGATCATTAATTGACCCTCATTTACTTTTGAAAAATGAGTATCAAGAAAAATGAAAAGAAAAATCGCCGACTTTAAAATTATGCATGTAATACGCCAACTGATCTATATACCGGGTGTACCAGAAGTTTTGCGACATTTAGTATTTTTCAAATATCTCAACAGAGATCAATCGTATAATCTTGATTCTTTTTTTAAAAGATGCGTTGTGAAAAGCTCTACAAAAAATGTAAGAACAAATCCCTATTGACTTGTTCTGATGATGTCTCCTATATTTAAAATGAATAGGTCAGATGATGATCCTATGTCGCATGGTATTAAATATTTGGAAGACTGTTTTTGTTTCGCAATAGGAACTTGCTCATACAGATTTTGTAGAGCTTTCGACGACGCATCTTTAGAAAAAAAGATCAAGACGTTCTCATTTTCCTAAGTTGAGATATTCGCAAAATAAAAAGAAGTCTTCCAAATATTGTTGTTGTACTAATTACGGTGGGACATAACATCGTCATGTGACCTGTTCATTTTGAGTATTGGAGACAATATTTGAGGAAGTCAATAGGGATTTGTTCTTACAGTTTTTGTAGAGTTTTTCACGGCGTATCTTTTGAAAAAAAGTCAAGGTGCTGTCATTTTCTCAAGGCGAAATACTTGCAAAACAAAAATAGTCTTCCAAATACTTAATACCATGCGACATAGGATCATCATCTGACCTATTCATTTTAAATATAGGAGATATCATCAGAACAAGTCAATAGGGATTTGTTCTTACATTTTTTGTAGAGCTTTTCACAACGCATCTTTTAAAAAAACGAATCAAGATTATACGATTGATCTCTGTTGAGATATTGGAAAAATACTAAATGTCGCAAAACTTCTGGTACACCCGGTATAACTTTTTTTCACAGAAAATCCTGATACAAGATACTTTTTGAGCTTCACACCCTGTAATTTGATTACAAGTTCGTGTAAACTAACGGAACTCAACATTTTTGTATCTCCAAAACCCTATCTAGCTGAGACATTATCAGATAGTTTTTTGTTAGTCAGGAGGGTGCTGGTGCGGACGTGGTTATGGGTGTTACTACTGTAGTTCTTTGTAGCCATATATACACTCTAAAAAAAGATTTTGTGGGAATCCTGTAAACAGTTTCCAGGTTTGCCACTACATGTAATCCTTTACAGGTTTCCAGGAAAGGATTTTATAGGTCTCGAGAACCTATCGAAAACCGTAGAAAACGATTAGGAAAGCTCAAGATCGAGGAAAGCCAGTAGAGGTTTTCAGCATTTTGAAAATCATTTACAGTCAGTTCAGAAAGTGTTCGGACACTTAAGACCGCTCCAAACCTTCATGAAAACCGATTTTGACTCGTGCACATGAAGATCGTATGAAATTTTCAGAATATGTTGGGACTGAAGTGGAGAGGTTTCGGTGAAATTTCCAGCTCAATATTGCTACGTTTGAGAAAGATATTAACTAAGCAAGGGTCAAACAAAACTCACTTGGCAAACCAAAATTCTCTGTTGCCCTTCATTCTATATATTTTATTTTATTTTGTTTAAAGAATTATGCCAGAATCCAGGACATGACAGAATCTTTTGCTTAAAATTATTACTTTTTAAGCGGAGAAAAGAAATGAGGCGTTCAACAACTCAGAAAACTCAAAAAAGCCGGAAACAATGTACCATTTTCTCAAAGTTTTGTTCGAGTTTTTGAGTTATTGAACTTCTCACCCCTTTTTTCCGCTTAAAAAGTAATGATTTAAAAAAAAGGATTCTGACATGCTCTATCAAACAAAAGAAAATTAAATATGTAGAACGAAGGCCAACAGAGCATTTTGTTTTGCCAAATGAGCTATTTTTGACTCTTGTTTGATGAATATCTCCCTCAAACGCCTCTCCACTACAATCCTAGCATATCCAAAAAATTTCATGCGATTTTTGAACTGATTGTATAAGTTTTCGGCCACTACCCGACAAAACGATTGAAGAGGCGCTCGATTTTAAGAAATCCGTTACTCTTTTTACTTGAAGTCAGTCATAGCTCCGGGGTTCTCAAGTCTTCCAGTCTCTTGAAGGCTGAGTCTTGAATTTTAGTCATAGTCTTGAGATTCTGATGTCGTCAAGTGTGTTAAATGCAAAGTTTTGCAATCAATCATTGTTTTCAAAACCTGAAATTCTCAAATACTTTAAATCCAGAGTCATAAAGTCAGCCAAAATCTTCGAGTCTTCCAATGTCTTAAAAACAAAATCTTGAAGTCAGTCGGAGTCGTAACCTTATAAAACTTTTATATCTGTTAAAGTTAACGCTTTTATCGGTATATTTTCCAAAATCTGAAGACTTTTTATGTTAAAATCATGCAGAAAGTTCTAATCTTAGATTCGTAAAATCTTCGCACTTGTTTTGGTCTGGAAGCTTTTAAATTTTTTTAAAGGCAGAGTTTTGAGAATAGTATTGCACTTAAGTCTGCACGTCTTGTGGACCTATAGTGCTGAAGTTAGTTGGGTGTTTATGTTATAAAGTCTTGATGAGCGTCAATTTTAGTTTCTTGAATATAGTTGAAGTTTTCGAATCTTTCAGTCTAACGATTCTAGGTTGCTGATGTTAGTATAAATCCTGAATTCTTTGATTTCGTTACCATTCTAGTTTAGTTTCGATGCTGCGTATGTTTGCGAATATTTCCTGTTAGTAGATTGCAGAAATACATGTCGGAGTGTGATAAAGCTAATATCAAGTGTCCATGAAAATTATCCAAAGCATTATTTTAGTTTTTAGTTTAAAAATAGTCCTCTCTCATCACAATGATGTTCAAAACAAATGTGAACAAAAAAGTAGATTTTTTTGTACAATAGTAAAAGCGAGTGACTTTTCAGTTAGATGAAGACATATGTTGAGTGAGAAAGACTAAAAAAACTGTTGTCTGAGTAGAATAGATATACATTATGGAAAATCTATATATCAGAGAGATGTTTTCCTTCATTTTTATTCGAAAATGATAACTAAGAATATGAAGATAGGACATGAATGCAAAAGGACTGCAGTCATTTATCGATAAATCGCTGTTCGTATAAACACATTTTAATGAAATCTTTTTCTCTTACACAATAGCAATGTTTCTTGCGCATTTTTCTAGAAATGGAGATTTTCTCA